ACATCCATCGTAATACTATAAGAAAAGGACTGACAGTGGTGGGAAACTATGGTGGGGGGAAGGGAGGTGGGATTAACGGTAGTCAATATCTGTCTGGGGACAGGGAGACACCTCTTATCAACAAGGGTGCCTGAACGAAGCATATTTGTATACCTAACCCTTAACTGTACCCCACAATATCAAAACAAAAAATACTGATATAAAAAAAAAGAGCTGTGGCTTCTGGGTAAGCGGGCTTCATCTCACATGAATGAAACACAATTTTTTGTATTTTCTATTTTTGAGTTGGAGTCTCACTCTGTCGCCCAGGCTGGAGGGCAGTGGCACACTCACGGCCACTCCAGCGTCGACCTGCTGGGCTCCGGCGATCGTTACCCCTCAGCCTTCCAAGTAGCTGGAACTACAGGCACGTGCTACCACTCCCGGCTCATATCTGATTTATTGTAGAGACAAGGTCTCGCCAAGTTGCCCAGGATGATTTCGAACACGCAGCCTACGGCAATCCACTTGCCTTGGCCTCCCAAAGTGCTGGAATGACAGGCTGAGCCACTGAACCCGGCAGGAAACCCAACTTTTCAAAAAAGAAAAATGAGGGAAAAAAAACAGGATGTGAGTTCCATGCAGGCAATGGTTGTAGTCGGCATGACAGCGATAGTTTCAGTGCGCAGCACCAGGAGGAACGCAAGACATGTCCTCAAAATAGAACCACTCATTGTTTTAAAAAAACAAAACAACCGAATGAGTTATTTGATCCTAGAGGGCAGGGTCTTAGGAAAAGGCAGACGGGTGTTAGAATTGTTTTTATAAAAGATGGCGAGCATTTTGGGATACCTCGGAGCTGAGAGCGGGCTGCAGGTTTGGAGACAAGGAGCACGGGAAAGAGATGGAGAGAAAGCGTCCACAGCATGGGAGGAGGTAACAAGGAAGGAAGCGCTCAGGTCCCTGCAGGGAAAGGCCCTGTGGACGGGGACGTGCCCCGTCCGTGCTGGCCGGATGCTCCTTCCTAGCGCATCCGTGAAGGCCAGCGGCCCGGCAGCCGTGCTCAGGAAGGCTACGGGCACGGGGGTGGCGAACGGCGCCCTGTGTGGTGGAGGCGGCCTCCAGGGTGCAGTCCCTGAACACGGCAAGTGGGAGCCTGGCTGAGACTTGGGCAGGAGCGGGGGCGCGCCTCCGAGGGGCTCTCCGGGGAAGGAGCCCCAGGGCCTCGCGTCACTGGGGAGACCCCCTGGGGGCCTGAGCCGGTGCTCGCCAGAGGGGGGCGTCAGGAGGGGGTGCGGCGCATGGCAGCAGGCGGGGTTGTGCCAGCGGCGGGGCGAAGACAGTGCCCCGAGGCCGAGGCGCATCTGTGGGTGGGGGTCCCCATCCACGCCCTCCTTAGTCAACCCGCAACATCCCCCCACGAGGGGCTCACCTTCCTCTGGGCACGTCCGCGTCATCCTTCCTCCACCGCACGGTGGGCTGGGGGTCTCCCTGGACCTGACAGCGAAATTCCACAGCCTCTTCCTCCAGCACCACCTGGTTAATCGGCCTCCTGAGAAACGTGGGTCGTTCTTGGGGGAACAGAAGAAAAACAGCAAAGTGAGCTGCAATGTGCATGTGTTCAGTAAATTGTGGAAGAGTGTAGTTTATTTTTGGCATACAGGAACCTAGCTCTGTGACTCAACTCTGTCTCGATACGGCCTTATGAACCCAGCATAGCTGAATAAAATGAAGTATTCTGGAGCACAGGAATAGCTATGGCTTGCCTAGAAGACCATAGAAACCTGTGGAAAAGCATCACATTGAATTTTTTTCAGCGAGTTTCTGGGCAGGTGGATCCTTTCATTAAAAAATGAGAGCACTGAATTCCACGGAAACAAGTCAAGATTTTAGAAAATGACTACCTTACCATCATGGCTCAGAGTGGAAAAACTGAAAGTTGAAACGAATGGAAAACATGAAAAAGAAAATAAATGTTAATATTCCTCATGAATGTTAGGAGAACAAACAACATGTGTACTTCCACAAATGTGCTCTGAAATGTTCCCACTTCAGCTATTATTTGACCAGAACCCAACACTTCCAGGACTATTTCAACCTCATGTATGGAAAGTCGTCTACCTGTCTTTTTCTTAAATACAAAGACTGTCATTAATAATTACTGCAAACTGTTTATGGTCGCATGTAATTTTCTAAGTTCACCTTCAATGATCTCCTCCTAAGTGTTTCAGAATATACTCGTTTTTACTTTCCTTAACCCTCTACATGTTTTTATATCTTCAGTCCTCTGTTTTACTGTTTCCATGCTTTATTCTTGTGCTAATCTAAGCCTGGCACTGTTAAATTTTATTCTAACATTCCTCTGTGTAAAGTTAGAGAAAAATAAATCTCTATCCATAAGAATCTTACACTCTAGGGCTGGGCTCAGCCTGTCATCCCAGGACTTTGGGAGTCCGAGGTGAGTGGATTGCCTGAGCCCACGGGTTCAAGCCTGGGTAACTTGGTGAGATCTCGTCTCTACAATAAATCAAAAATTAACCAGGCGTGGTAGTGCGCACCTATAGTTCTGGCTCCTTGGAAGGCTGAGGCGGAAGGATCGCCAGAGCCCAGCAGGTTGATGCTGGGGTGGCCATGAGCATGCCACTGCACTCCAGCCTGGGCAACGGAGTGAGATTCTAACTCAAAAAAAAAGAAAAAGAAAAAAGAATCTTACTCTCTTAAAAGAAATACAAAACAAAAAGCAGTTTTAGGAATCTCCAAATACTTGCATTCCTGGCCCAGTTTCTTACCTTTCTGATAATGGTCTAATACTGGGGGGGGGGAGTCTCCATTTAAATTTCATTAGCACACGTCTCAAAATCATAGGCAAGTCCAATACTGCTACTTATTGAGGTTGAAAGAGAACTAAGTCAAGGCAAACAAAGATTAGATCCACAAGAAGTTGACATAATCCATCCAGCCATCTGGACATATTTAGCCACTTAGGACTTCAGTTTCAAACCTAATTAGAATTGTGAATACAGTGGCACAGAAACTGAAATGTGTTTAGCAGGAAACTTCCAAAGAAAACAAATGACTTCAAATAACATATGTTAGAGTATAGAATGAGACTATATGACTATATTGACTAAATCAAGATCCATATTTATAAAACAAATGTGCAAGTTGCAAGAGAAACACTTCATTGCCACAAAGCCAACCATCGTGGTGTTCAGAAGGAAGACAACTGCATCCCTCCAGGGAATCTGAGGTAGGGATCAAAATCCGCTTCAAAACATAGGTCTATGTCTGCTCCAGTACTTGCACTCTGAGGCTCTGAAATCCCAGCCCATAATAGAAGGCAAATAAGATGCTATCTGGGAAGACTTACAGTGCGGAATTTACAAACAAGCCTCAAAAACTAAAGAAAAGCATGGGTTGGTTCTAAAGATTTTAGGGAGCCAGAATAAATCAGCAGCAAATTGTTCCCCCTCAAAAACGAATACATCTCAGCAGATCAAATCTCATTCCATGCAGGATGGTTTAGTGTTACTCTTTTGAAGACTGTATACCATGTGCCCAAAACAGCTACTTGGGGCTGGCCCAGCTGACACAGAACTACTTACTGTTCCTGGCAGTCAAGTAGGCAATCGTATTAGTATATACTTAGGAGAGTTCCAAATGTCAGCAGCAAAAATGAGTCATCAGCACAGGAAGCAGGACTGACCTTTTCTGGGCCATCTATGGTCATGGGGGCTTTCCATCCAACCCGCCACGAACCAGTGCTGAAGGAGTTTACCCACCACTTGAGATGGGCGCTGATTCATCAGAAGGAGAGCCCTCCTGCCCCCTCGATTTTACTGGGAGTATCACACGACACCCTGGAAGAAGCAGTGGGAGAAGTCTCCCTCTCACCCACTCACTCATCCAGCATGTGTTGTGTTTTTCTTTTAGGAATTTTAGATTCAGGGGTACACGGGCAGGTTGGTCATGAAACTAGACCCCCGACTCTCACCATATACAAAAACTAACTCAAGATGGTTGAAAGACTCACATGTAAGACCTCAAGCTCTAAAAATCCTAGAAGAAAGTCCAGGAAACATGCTTCTGGATGCTGGTCTAGACACTGAGTTTCTGGTCAGGTTCGCACCCACGAGTACCGCTGCTCTTACGGGCTCCAAGGTGCCAAGTGGGTGGACAGCCAGCAGGCAGTTTCGTGGACAGGGGATGCTGCAGGAGACAAAGCGAGCGGGAGGGAGGGAGGCCCCCAGAGAGGGCCTCCCAAGCAACAGAGATGAGAGTGCCGTCTGAGACAACGGGAGCCTTGAAGGACGGGTGCAAGACAGCAACGTCTGAACACTTACTTGGGGAAGATCGTGTGGGCGGGCTGGGAAGGACACATCGGAAGAGAAGCAGAACATAGTGGACAAGGCCAAGGGCTGTTGTAAGACCTTATTTCAGCTTAAACAGACACAGTGGCTCTGGGGCCAAGGAAGAGGACAGACTCAAGGGAGATCAAAACTGGGCGACCGGTCGAATGTGGAAAAGAAACGGGGAAAGGTAAGTCTGAAAAGATTCTCAACTTTCCACTTTGCAAATCCAAAGGGTGTGTGTGTGTGTGTGTGTGTGTGTGTGTGTGTGTGTGTGTGTGTGTAAGATCCTTTCATCACAGAAGTGGTAGGTATGAAGAAAAATTAACCTCTTTCTATGCTTACACCGCTGTTATTCAGTCACCTGTCACTTGAAGCCAAATGAACTTTGAAGAAGGTGATCGAGAGTACTTACACAACAAAAGGGAAAGAAAAAAGAATATGATCGTATCTGGAGATAAATCTCCTGGATATGATCTCCACATAAGGAAGGAATCAAAAGAAAGTTCTTAAACACGATGAAGATTTAAGCAATTAATTGTCAAAATTATCTCAAAGAATAAGATAAAATAAGCATGCCACTGAAGGCAGGACCCGGATGGACACACCAGCCACAGAAATCAGCATGAAAATGTACTGACGATGAGCCAGGAGGGGCTGACTCACACTCCACGATACGCAGCAGCACAGAACAATAGCTTTGAGAACTGACAGTTGTGACAAAAATAAGTAATATTGCAGCAATGCTGGCAGAAGTGGAAAAAGGGGATTTTAGGATAAATCAAGGCAAATTCATGCACTGAAAAATGAAGTCACTGGAAAATTCCAGCCTCCTACCTGTCTAGCATGGAATGTTTTTATGACATGCTGAGTAGAAAGTAAGTTGCAAAACAGTATGTGAGACCAGGTCCAGCATATGAGACAGGAGTAGATTATCAGACAAAGTGTTTGCCTCCTTCCTTTAACACATTCCAAGCCACAAAATCGTAACACCTGATCAATCTGAAGGGCAAACTGTACACTAGAGATGTCACAGAACACAGCTGTCTCTTTCTCCGGACACCTCTGGATCCTTGAGGACTTGGGTCATCCTACATGTCTAAGCCCACTGCTTCACATGGAGACTTGTGAGGGCACCGGGTCACCATCTCAAGAAGCAGCAGACACAGGGCCCTGCTGGAGTGAAATCAGCAGGGGGACAGAGCCTCCCAGGGACCCCTCTTGCCCTCTGCCCTCAAGCAGAGGCTGGTTGCTTAGCAACTGAGAACTACCGGATGTGGTACCCAGGCTTTGGAAGCCTGGCGCTGGCTCATGGTGGAAAATATGATTCAAATGGTAGGAAACAAACAAACAAACAAAACCCAGATGCCACGAATAACCAAGATGAAAGTCCTTTGTGAACACGTGACACGTCCAGATGGCTTTTATACCCGAGTCTCCTGCATTGCGGGGGCTAACAGAGTAACATGGGAAATGACTGATATGTTGGAGTTTGGTCACATATTTAAAGTATTATTTTAAGAATTCTCATAGTACCTTTTAAGCAATTATCTCTAAATTGTAGTATTCACTATTCCAATTGTTTTCTGTTAATTCTGCTAAGCTCACCTTCTGCTTTGCAATTTTCATCACGGCCTAAAAAAAAAAAATTGTTAGAAACTACAGGCTTATCTAACTCTTTTAAAATGGAACAATTTTTTGTAAGAATTTTTTTCCCATTTTTCTTAACCATACTTTGTTTCCAGAAATCTGAGATTCAGAAACAGATAATAAAGATTAAGGACATTGTCCAAGCCACAGAGTATTTCTGAAGGCTTTGCTTCTACAGTGACTGCTCTTTTCCTAAGCCTACCACAAGCAAGCCCCTTCCTGACACAAATTACAGAAACGACAAGGAAATGGGTTGTGTCTCCCTGTTTGCCTCAGAGTTATCTGCAAAGAAATGGTAAGTTAAAAGGGTCAGAAAGTGAGTTGATGTTAGAACCGTCCGGTAAGTTGGTAAGCTCCCACTCAATACCTACAAATGTTCCATGGAGTTTGTCCCCATGAAGCCCTGTACAATCAGAATAAATATGGATGAAAACCTTGAAGTATTGAATAACAAGCAAACTTAATTCTGAGGTATGTCAAAATAAGGCCACTGATTTTTACACATTATCATTTAGGTCTGACCACATGTTGAAAGATAGGAGAAATCTCGAGGGCGGTTTGCTGACTGTATA